CTTTACTGTAAATTACTGAATTTAGACGACATATAAATATGCAGAAGATACATCATTCATATAAGTCGTATGCAGAGCGAAAAATGCGACTTCATGTGCAAATTTCGCAAAACTTTTGTGGCGGAAGATACTACTTTATGTGTAAATTCTGCAAATAACAAATAACTATACAGAGGAGGCTACTTTATGTGCTAACTAATTTAATACTTACAATATGCAAGCCCAGCTAACTGCAACGCGAAAAATGCTACTAAATGTGTAAATTTTATAAAATTTTGGTCGATAAGATACTATTTTATGTGTAAATCATTAAAGCTAAATAAATAAACAGAGAAGGCTACTTTATATGTTAACTCTGATCTTATACTTATAAACTGCAAACTCGGCTAACTGCAACTCGAAAAATACTACTTAATGTGTAAATTTTGTAAAACTTTGGTCGAGAAGATACTATTTTAAGTGTAAATTCTGCATTTAAGCTAAATAAATGTACAGAGAAGGCTGCTTTATGTGTTAACTGTGATATCATACTTATAAACTGCAAACTCGGCTAACAGTAACTCGAAAAATGTTACTTAATGTGTAAATTTTGTAATACTTTGGTTGAGAGGATACTATTTTATGTGTAAGTTCTGCATTTAAGCCAAATAAATCTACAAAAGAGGCTACTTTATATATTAGCTCTGATTTTATGCAAACTTTGCTACAAAAGATAATATATCATATGAAAATTCTGCATTATAAACAAATAAATGCACAAAGAAGGCTGCTTTATGTGATAAATAAGATCTTATACTTATAAGATGCTAGCCCGGCTAACCGCAATGCGAAAAATGCTACTTAAAATTTAAACTTCAAAAAACTTTGGAAGCAGAATGTAGGTACTATGTAAGTTCTGCATTATAGACAAATAAATGTCTGGTAACTCTGGTCTTATGCTTATAAAATGCAAGGACGCAAAAAATTCTACGCAAAGCTGATTGATTATATTACTGTATGGAAAAATCCTAAACCTTAAAAAAAAAGACCCTTTATGTGCAAATGAATTAGCCATTGATTAAATATAGATTTAAATTGATTCAGAATCAGAATCTAAGAGGTATATACATTAAACTCGTCATCTTCACCAGAACAGACTTTCGAATAGTAAGGATCAAATTCAGTATTAGGATATTCTGGGAGCGGATCCTAAAAGCAACATCTCTCTCGGAAAACCAATCAACGAAGAAATGGTAGAAAGTTGGGAAAATATTTGCAAGATGGTTTGGAGAATGGTAAAATATCAAAGTTTCTTTGCGAAATCAAAATCTGGAATACTTTCACTTGGGTCCCCCACCTTAAACTCCGATCCAAAAAAGTTAAGTAACTAGTCACGTCAGTAAATAAAACCGACAGCTATTTATATATGCTGCAAGACCAACTTGAAAGGTAATGGGAAGTTTAGCTGAACCTCTGTAAGCTAGGGTCTTTAAACACAAATGTGAAAAACATGATAGAAAAAGCAGATATCGATGGTTTTTCATTTTGAAAAGAATCTTGTAGAGATATGAAAGGCAGACAAAGCATTTGAAAAAACTGGCATATATTAAATGAAAAGGCACTAACTAAAAGCAAACAACAATTTCAATTAGTGTTTAAACTTCAGGCGCCTACTTTTAAATGGCGACTGAAGAAAACCAGGCCAGAGAAAGAGCAGGAGAAAAAAAACCCAAAGGACGAACCAACAAGTATTCAGAAAAACAGAAAGTATTAAAAAAAAAAGAAAATAACTTACGAATTTGAGTGTCTTACATTTGGTTTGACCATATGTTTTTGCAAACACTTTAAAACCGGTAGTGCATCAATTAAGGCTTTTGGAAAAAATAACCTTAATGATTTCCTAATTACATCTAAATCTAGTGATGAATGTCTCAAACATTGTAATACAACGGTTAATTCTTTACAATCTCTATGACTCATCATAAAAAAAGTGTTTTTATGTAAATTGTGCGAGAACTCGATTGTTACGTAGCTGATGCATTTCTTGTATAAGTACTAAAATTAGAAAGACCAAGCAGAAGGCATAGTGATTGTTCCATAATGTGAAACTCAACCATCCCATGTTACAAAAAAAAATTAATAAATAAATGCTTTTTACGGTACATGTCAACATTAAACCTAGTTATTCACTGCAGCAAACCTTCATTTAAAACTCCTTATGACCAGAGTTCTGCCCTAGCTCTCATTATAAATAGTTCCTAACTTTCATCATAGAAATCCTAAATAATAAAAGAAAATGTATATTAGGAAATTTCTAAAAGGGTCATCCTATTTTGCCAAAATGTATTCAAACTTGAGATCAAAACACAGTTTTAAAATACCTCAGTAGTTTCTTTCACTTGAAAAACTTAAAACAGCTAAGAGCCAAACTTGTTATGCTTACAGCCCAACGGGTATAGACTTTCTCAAAAATTAAAGTTGAAAATGTCAAGGTGGAAGCTAACAATATACAAATTTTCATTGACGAAATGCTAAAACTTCGACTCCACAACGAGCACAGCCTTTATTAGTATTTTTATTCCCCACGAATTACCTCAATTTATGCTCGGCAAAAACAATTTTTATTTTATGGGGAAAAAAGAAAAAAAATCAAAGTCTCACAGGTCTTCAGGACCTTTTATTCTAACCACTAATGCTCCAGTCCATCCAGTATCTCCCCAAACTTTTGGATGGGTAGCCCAAGCACTTAGTACAGATACGTATGTACCTCGACCGTCCTCATAATCTGCGTCAATATCGAAACCATTAGAAAAATCGTAGGATAAAGAGATCAATCAGTAGTGTTTAACAAGTTTTACAATTAAGACGTTAAACCAACGTTCGCAAAAGTATTAAAAAATTATAAAACTGGATTGTTAAAAATCAATATTATTTTTTGTTACGTTGGTTAATGAATAATTCATTGGTATTATCATTAATTATTATTGTTAACTATGTGAAAGCAAAAATCTAGTTTTATTTAGAATAGAACATCCTCTAAACAACTACATGGTTATCTTTATTTCCACTAACAAGGATATGAAGCATAATTAATGGATCAAACGACTTACCTGAAAGAAGTCCGATCCTAATTATGCGAGCATCCTTGTTAGTGGAAATAAAGTCCCACCTCCACCATATTTATATTATTTTTAAGCCCAAACTCCTAGGCTCCACAACAGGTAATAAGTAATGTAGAGAGCCAGCGACAGAGAGTGACGTAAAATTTTAAATCTAAACATGTGGGCCAGCGGCGTAACATAGGTATACTACATGGTTATCTTTATTTCTACTAACAAGGATGCTCGCATAATTAGGATCGAACTTCCTTCAGGTAAGTCGTTTGATCCGTTAATTACTACAATAAATAAATTCGTACATTTTACTACTTAAGTTTCTTGTATTTATAAAATTTAAGATTTTCGTTTTATTTTCCTTTTCTTTGTTTCTTTTTGGTAAGCAAAAAACAATTGTGTGTCAAACATGCAGAAAACGCTTTAGCAGCCCTTAGCTATCAGCTGCCCTCGCTTTGTTTGGTAGCTCATGCAGCCCTTTTGACACAATATACTATTAAAAGGTTCCAACTAATTCATAAAAAGCTGCTTTGTTGTTCTTCCATTATCTGAGCACCTGTACATTTCACCAAAAGGTCCATCCTCTTGGAAGAGAGAACAAACTCGTATCTCAGGCTATATAGACATACGTAGAATTATATATTCCTTATACACTCGTGGCATACCACAGAGATAATGTTCTTATCTCTCTCCCAACTTGTTCTTATCTCTTGGATCCTAACATTTTTGCAGATTTTCGAACAGTAGCTATGCAGTAACGCATCGGCCTCGGAGGTCGTGAGTTCAAGCCCCACTGCCGACTGATCTGCTATGAGTTTTTTCAAAGGTTTTCATATACCAATAGACAAATACTGGGCCATAAGCATACTCTAAGATTTCTTCAACGATTCCTTCAACCCCATCACCTCATACCCAATCCCTGATCCTTCCAGTGAGACTGAACGGGCTATAAATGCCTATAGCGGCCTGCTTCAATATAAGAGAATAAAATAAACACCCTTTACCTTTACCTAAGACCCGTATTTATAAAAAAATCAAAGTTTGGTTATATCGCGTGAATGTATAAAATGGGTAGTAACAAATCCGTATATGTACGGATTGCTAATCTTTATCTCTAAATTCCAGTGCAACACTGGAATCACCTGGAACTCTAAAGAAGTTGTAATAGAACTTCCATTTTTGTTCAAGAACGTCTCAATTGAGACCGGTTTATAAATACGGGCCTTAGACGTAATAAGAGTAGAACGAGATCCCCGTTATTCATAATTTAAAATAAACTTTATTTTTCAGTGGAAATTTGAAAGATGATAAATCAGTAATCAAATCATTTTTCGAGGAGATTAAACTACGATTTCCTGAAGCTGGATTTTACGAAAAACCCCATTTCCTGTGTTAATGTAAGTATAAAATCAAACGAGATTTTGCGTTAAGGCAGTCAGGGCCGCCGAGAGCCAGGCCGGGCCCCAGGACAATTCTCTAGATCGGGCCCCGTGGCAAAAAAAGGCTCTTCAAATAAAAACTTTTCCTCTTCTACTTGAATTAAATTTTCTAAAAAAAAAAAAACTCAAGCAAAAACTTTTCCTCCTCTACTTGAATTGCTTTTTCTAAAAAAATAAAAAAAGGACATTGAAAACCTTCCCCCTCTCGTCTTGTGCCGAATTTTTCATAAAAAACAAAAAGAAATCCAGTTGCCGGGCCCCCCTTTGAGTCCGGGCTCCGGGAATTAGTCCCGGCTACCCCCCCTCTAGTCGGCCCTGAAGGCAGTCACTGTCAACGTGGTCAGGTGAATAGTAATAATAAGTCGCCCTCTAGCTATATAATTAAGTAATACAAATGAAGATAGGTTGTTTATAATAAATTGTATTGATTTATTTGTATTCAAATTGAATATTGTTTTGTATATTTTAGATCATTGATAACGGAGAAACTCATAGCGATCCTGTGATTACTCATGGAGGTATAGGAGAATATTTTATTGAGATAACCATCAAACCTGTGCTTTTGGAACATTTAAACTACAACATTCAAGTTTATACGCAACCGTAATAGTGAACTTGAATTATTTTCACACCAAAAACTACATAAACTCTCTGAAATAAAGTCTATAAATAAAAAGTTTAATAAGACTGTGATTTATTTAATTTTTATATATCCTGCAACGTACAAATTTAACTCTCAAATTTCTAAATAGAAAGTAGGGGCCTGTGATACTTCATTTGAAAGGTCTCTTCACTCTTTATTTAAAAATGCCACAATTTTCAAATTTATTACAAAATTTAACATTAAGCATAAATAATTAGTAATGCGCAAAGAGAGCACAGGGACACAGTTCCAAAAGTCGCCGCTAGATGGCGCCACTTGTCAGTGTTTGGATTTGAAACTTGGCTAAGTGTTTTTCGACTTGGCTAAGCGATCCAAGATGGCGGCTATAGTTTACGTGAACTTGTATAGATTAACGTTAAATAGAAAAATTATGCGCATTGGCAAAGGCAAAAATATTATCTCAGCTATTATTGGTCTGATTTAAACGAGAAAAACGGTATTATGTAGGAGTCATGGTATATATTAACGTTAAAATCATGCGTAGTAGCGACTTTGTATCTAAATTTAAGTGGCGTTCAAGTAAATATGTCCATGATTTCATCGAAATACAAAATAAATATCTTCAGGTATCCCAAGAAATAGAAACTACGTCTCCGTTTAGTAAAATCATTCTATATACGACATATTATTGTAAAATACATAGAACCGACCTGCATTTGGTTGAAAAATAGCATTGATATGAGCCTTTTTGGGTATATTAATTACTGTAAAATATCGCCATATTCTTAACGTTATTAGGAACATTTGTATACATTACATGCGGCGGGAATCGTTCTGTAATTAGTAAACATTTTATCTAACAGACTAAGGTTATATAGTTGCTTTTGGACGTAAAATTGTATATCTTTATTTAACTGTCTTATACGTTCACCAAATTCTTCTGGTTTACGACTGCACTCGTCTGATGACATCGTTATAATATTGGTTTAAATTACTTTTACTCATTTTTTTGTATTTTCTTATCTCGCCCTTTTTTTCTCATCCTATTTTTCACGTACGCACGCACACACGCCACATGCGACATAAATTGAGATACAAAATCGCTACTGCACATTGTTTTTCTTTTTAACGTTAATCTATACTACGCCCCCTACATAAAGTTGTTTTCTCCATTTCAATCTGACTAATAATAGCCGAGATATACACTTAGGTTCTTTTGGTATTGCTAGTGCGTATGTTTTTTCTATTCAACGGTTATCGATACCACGACCCCCGACCCACGGCCAGCATCTTGGATTGCTTAGCCGAGTCGCAAATCACTTCTATCTGTCTATCTATCAATCTATCTGAATTAGGGCGTGGTTCAAAGCTCACTTGTACTAAAGCTCTAGGCTTATTGTACTCCTCACAGTTTCTATCCGATCGGATTGATTTTTTTGATGAATTTAAGATTATGTCTGAAGGGCGCTTTCGCAATTTCTTCAGGTTCCGGATATTATACCCCGAAGTACCATTTCCGTTCCCATTTAAGGTCCCGACAGTGGCATAGTATGTGAATAGGAGTTTCGTCCACCTCTTCACATATTCTACATAGGGATTCATCAGATACCCCTAAGAGATTTAGGTGTCTTCTAAGGCCGCAATGTCCCGTAAGGAGTCCTATTACGGCCTTGAGTTCGCTTCTGCTAAGGTTTAACAGTTGATGTTGTCTGCTCGTGGATGGCCCCTCTATGAATCTTTTGGGCTGTCTAAGGCCAGGAAGTACTATCCAGAGTCTATGGTGTTCTCTATTTATTTGTTCCTTTAACACCCATTTAACATATTGGTATGAGATACCACACGTGGGTTCTGGTCCAATAAGAGTTTTTTCCGCTCCCTTCCTTGCTGTCTGATTTCTTGTTACCAAACACTCCCTCATGTCCTGGCACCCATTCAAGGGTGACCTTGTTATTTTCCGCCAGGGCCTGGAGGGACTGTTGGCAATCAAATATTCATTTAGATTGTACTTCTACCCTTTTCGGTGCTTTAAGGGCTGTCTGACTGTCTGTCATGATAAAGATCCTCTTATCTCTAAGAGAGTCATTTAGCATTACTTTGGCTCAGGTATTTATTGCTGTTACTTCAGCCTGGAAGACTGTTGTCAGTGACCCCAGGTTCAAACTAATTGTCCTCCCTGAGTTCACATGGTAGATCTCAGCTCCTATGCTCTTTTTCATTTTCGAACCGTCTCTATACCAGATTGATTCGTTTTGGTTTTCCCTATTTTCCCGACTTTTGGCCCTTTCTGGAAGTCTTGAATAATGGGCGTTCTATCCGATGGCATTCTTAGTACCGGATTTTGTTTTAATTTCTCTAATATCATTGTGTGCTGTCCTTTTATCGAAAGTTCGCATCCAAATCCATTAGTAAACAGCCTGTATGCCGCCGCCATAGCCTCCTTCTCCACCACAAGGTGTAGTGGAGGAAGACCTAGCAGAAGCTCCATTGCTGCTGTGGGCGTAGTTCTAAATGCCCCTGTTATTATTAGACAGGCTAGTCTTTGCACCTTGTCTAATTTTCTGTTAGCTGTTATGCTTTTAGTCCTGTGCCACCATATGACTGATGAGTAAGTTAAACAGGTACTACAACCATAGTGTAAAGCCAGTGCATCATACTTGATTTAAGCTCCCATAGGTTCCCTACCATCCGTCTTTAGGCCCATAGTATTCTTACAGCTTTTTCTGTTGTTTTTTATATATGGCTGCAGAAGCTAAGCTTGTCATCAAGAGTGATTCCAAGATATTTAACCTCTTTTGCCATTTTTAGATGTTGTCCCTACATATAAAGCTCCTTCATTCCTTGTAGGTTCCTTTTTCTTGTGAATGCAACAACAGTGGTTTTTTTTGGGTTTGTGGACAATCCCTATTTTATTTATATTTAGTGCCCGCTGCATCCTTTTGGATACAACAGACTACAACAGACCCAAATTTACCGTTTACTACGATGCTTATGTTGTCTGAAAATGCTTACGTGTATAAGTTTTCTCTCTCTAACTCCCATAAGAGGTCATCAACCACCAAGGTCCACATAAGAGCAGATAACACTCTTCCCTGCGGGCATCCCTTGTTAACTGAGACCTTTCTCGTTGTGTTAAGGAGATTACTGGTAATGGTTCTATGATTAAACATGAGTTCTACCCACCTCATAATGCAGTGGGCTACTCTACGCCCTTGCATAGATCCCAGTATTGAGACCTTTCTCGTTGTGTTAAGGAGATTACTGGTCATGGTTCTATGATTAAACATGAACTCTACCCACCTCATAATGCAGTGGGCTACTCTACGCCTTTGCATAGATCCCAGTATTGAATAGAATGAAGCCGAGTTACAGGCTCCTTCTATATTTAGGAAGACTCTTAGTGCTATTTCTTTGTTTTCCAATGCTTGTTCAGCTTGTTGAGTTAGCTTATGTATGGCTGCATCGCAAGACTTTCCAGATTGGTAGGCAAACTGGTATCGATGTATCGGTTTATCCCGTAGAACATCGTCCCGTATATATCTATCGATCACTTAGTTTGAAGTCCTAATTCTAAGAGGTGGCGCTATCTAGAGGCGACTTTTGGAACTGTGCCACCCATTTCTCTTTGCTCATCGTCAGATGTCAAATTTCAAATCTCAAAATAGTTTACCTGTTGCTTCGTTAATTAAAAAATCTAACATTAATAGATATAATATATATTATAATCAAGAAATTGATTTTACAAACCTAACACTTAACTATTAATTAAATTTTTACTTCACGATTCGAATGTATTTAATCAATGATCCCATGTGATGAGTTTCCTAGACGTAAGTTTTAACAGCATTTAATATTTTAAATGGTAATTTGTAACGCCTTATTCGCTACGTGCGTGACATCAGCGCCAGTTCATTTAGGTACTAATTGACTATTTCTGCGTATACTGACAATACAATTTTTTATAGAATTCGTAACTAAAAAGTAAATATGTCAGTTTCAATAAAAGTATATGGATTTGTAAAATAAGTAAAACATTAATTTATTATTATATATTTTTATCGCTGAAATCAATAAAAATCAATAATAAAATATAGGCAGGCAACAGTATTTACGTGAAAATGTATTAGAAGTTGTCTAAGTCTAATAAGTTGTCTTTGAAGAAATAACCTATTCTGTCAAAATAAAAAAAATATTCACATTCTTTGATTTTCTCTTACTATACGGAGAATGGTCGCACTGCGCAGCTTTCTGAGTGCTTTTAAAAAGGAGATAGAAAACTCCGCCATTTTGATGCCTTACTACGTGTTGCCTACATCTTGGCGCAATATTTTTAATATTTTGCTTGCTGCTGTCAGTGTCAGTGAATATTATTTTTGGAGTCACAGTTTATTGCTAAAGAATCAGTTAGCTCACTCGGACCAGTTGAAAGTTCCAAAATAACATCCACTCCAGGGATACAAATTCAGGATGCGCAGAAGACTGCTGTTTTATTAAAGGCGGTTGTCATATATTATATTATCCGAGTTGCGCAGGGTATAAACTGGAACATTAAGATCAAAAGTGCCGATGCAGAGTGAGCGAACTGATTCTTTAGCTATAAACTGTGGTAAAGGCATCAAAATGGCCCTGCTCTATGTTGGGCGTGTTGTACCTCTCTCTTGCACCGTATAGTAATCAAAGTATGTGAACATATCATAAACATATCATGAACAAACATATAAACAGAAGAATTGTTTTTTTTAATTTGGTGTCATCGACATCGACTGCTAAGGTCATTAGCCTGTTTTCTGTGTAGGTTTTGTTACTGTTTCCCAACGCCACTTTAGAAACAGCACTGTTAATTAGAACCCAACAGTGAATGGTCGAGTGGGGAATCCTACCAAAGCATCAGAATGAATTTTAAATATTTAAATTAAATAAAAAAATCCCGGCCAACGGTGGGATTCAAACCTGGGACCCTTGGATCCACAGGCAGAGACTCTACCCTTCAAAAGGATTGTTATTTA